ACGTCGAATTTCAAGGACATCCGTGACTTCACTCTCGCAACAGGCAGCCCTTCTGGAGATGAACTCACTATTTTGGACCATAAGTATTTTTATCCAAAGGAAGCGGATTCGTTATTTAGTATGCTCAAGTGGAGAATTTGGGTTAGAAAACGTGTTAAGTAATTTTAACAATTATATTTCTTTTATATAACAATAACAATTTATATTTCCGAATTTTGTGACCCGTTATGAGTTTCCTAATCGATTACTGATTTTTTTCTGTTCTCTTTAACTCCACTATATATTGTATTCTAAAATACGGAAAAATCTAAAATGTGAAACAATCTTCGTTCCAAGCTTTTCGGATTAGTCATACTCAGCCTGTATTTCTTTTCAGTGTGTTTTTGTTTGCTTTTTATGTTTTTACCTGCTTAAGGTCCTGTAAACACGTTATGGCCAGGCTTAAATGCCCCAATAATGGTCGGCAAAGAGATGTTGCATCGAAAATACATCCCTCCAAACGAAGAGCGAGAAACTAAATTGCTGAAGCTTCGTGAGGTGCGCACTCGCCGCACGGTCAAAGTGCATCCATTGGAGCGTGGTTGGTCCGGAAGAAGCGTCGAAGGACGGAAGCTGGGTCCACCGGAGATTGTGAAAGACAGTAAAACCACTTTAGTGCACAAGTGATGTTAATAATTCGTTGAATTGTCAGGCGAGGACGCTCAGAACTACCAGTCGATCATTCTCGAAAACAAGATCGTCAGTCACATGACCGCGAAACGAGGACGGGTCAGGAGGGCTAGCATTTTAGCGGTGGTTGGCAACGGCAATGGGGTGGCGGGTAAGAGTTTCGGCTCTGACATCCGTTACAAAGGCCACCGTTTACTGCATATCTTTATCATTGTAAATTACAGGCTTTTCTTTCGAGAAAATGTCAGACGTGAAATCGGCAATAAGGAAGGCCACAAATTCAGCAGCAAAGCGACTGCAGTATATCGAAAGGTTAAACGGACACACAAGTACGATTTTTGGCGGTTAACCACTTTCTGATTGCGCGGTCAAGAACAGGTGACTCATCCGAAAATTCAGAGCTAGGAATGTCATCTTATGCATGCTCATGTCGAGGTTGGAATGTACTTCTAGAATTAACTTATTATTAAGACTCTTCTATTCGCTATTCATAATTGATCAGTTGAACCTTTTATTTGACCATGATTATGATACTAAACTGTAAAATAACCATTGTGAGGTTGTTGTATTTGTTGTTCGTTGTACTGCGTGTTTCGTTTTTTCACAGGTGATGCCATCATGATTGAATGAAACAGAGGCCAAGTTAACGTTATGGTATATCAATTGATTATTATTACCTTAATCCTGAGTGCCAGTTGCATGCCAATATGGTTATTAACTGTTGCCCAACTTTGACTTATGTCACAGAAAAGGAGTATTCATTGTACAAATTGGGGATCCCGTGCTGAGGTACAAATTGATTTTTTAATTACTAGCACTGACTTTGTACACCTGTTGGTTGTTCAAACACTCCCATCACTGAAGCCATGTCCATCTGGAATGGGATGCCTGTGTGTTGTACAATACTGTTATTGATTTTGGATCAATGCTCTTTAATTCTGATGTTTATCTCTCTCCAAGTAAATTAATTTTGCCTCAAATGTTATGGTTACATTTTTAAACTACGTTCATGTCTTTAGTTGGGTTGCTGCAAAGGAGCGTTTTGAACAAATGTTTTCAGTGTCAGGTGTTTTCATCAGGGAATTTTTGCCTATCTTTGAAATATGAGTATAAAATGGGATAGAAATTATGTGATTTTTTGTTAGCTTGTTTAATTTAGTGCTCCAGAACTGCAAGTCTGCTTATCAATAGTAGCTTATAACAGTTTTTCAGACAGATTCAGTAGATCTGCCAATACATAATGATTTGATTCGTTTTTTTCCCTTGTGAATCATGAAACACGAGCAACTCTGACTGATTTTGCGTCATGACTTCAAAAAATCGGTCACTGACATTCGCCTTTTCTGATATAGTACGAAGAAGTAGATGAGGACAAAAAAGAACTAAAGAGTAAAGGAGCTCAGAGAAGGCAAGAGATTCAGCACTCGTCAGCACAACTTACTATCACAGCAGATGGCTAACTATCTTTGCTCTGCTTAACTGTGATCAGCGATTGGTTTATTCAGTCTAATATGAACAATTTCATTAATATACCCAGTTCATTAACCTTCATTTTCATCTTCTGTCGCCGCTTCTCCTTTCGGGTCACAGAGTCAGACGCGTCAAACACAGCTTCCAACGTTCCCGATCCTGTGCCAGAGTCTGAGCTTCGGCAAAAGACAAATGGAGTCTGGAACAGACTCCTTCCATATGTTTGCACCAGTTGGCCATCGAAGTTTGGCTTAGCCATCGATGGTTCAAATGAAGACTACCATCTGTCTTTTTCGTTTTGTTTAGAACCGTTGAAGTGTCAGATGGTTTTAGCTTCACTTTCGCAAATAAACATTAAAAAACTGATATATCTGGGCCATTCTTTCATAATCGGATCAAGACCTTGGCACCTAAGGGTTAAATAACCTAAACTGGCAGTCCGTGTAGATTGCCTAAACTCCACAAGCAGTTTAGCCTCATGAAAATGAGCATGGCTTTCTATGTAGTAGTTTTGACCGCAACTCACGTTCTGCATCGCTTTTATCTGCTCTCCGACGACGTTGTGTTCACTGATATAAAGCGGCTGCTGCACCAGTTGTGTGTTCACATTACTTTTACCACTCACTGTCACTTCTTTCTATAAAGTAAGCGAAAACGGTTCAGCTGACTTTGCATATTTGGAGTCGACGATTTGGTTGTATGGTAAAATGGTTGAAACTGAACTGATAAGACTAAAAAGAAAACTTAAAGGTTTTTAATTGCCTGGACGTAGATCTGCTATATAGGTCCATTTTTAGTCGAATTTCTGGACCCCTTCTTCTATAGAACTTATTTTTGTTTCAAGATTTACAACTGGCAGATTTTGAAGACAATGTCTAAACAGCTTGGCGTTCATCATAAAATATAGCCTAGACCGTTATAAGGCAAAATTCCTGCAAGATCAAATTTCACGAACTATTGCTCCGCTCTCCTGATCCTCGTTTCGTAAAGGGCATATTTTAACACTCAGTGGTTCCATTATATTTCAGCACCTGCAATGTCAGATGCGTCTCGCATTATTTTGTTCGCTAGAACCACCCTTTGCTCATTACGATCGATATTTCAGGAACAAAATGATTCGAGATGCGTCCTGTTTTTTTGTATGCTATGGATACCCCCTCCCCAACGATTCAAATGGGAGAAAAGGGCGTTGCAATACGCCGTGAAATCTGGTTCTGAAGAAGTCATTCAGGCATGATAACATGCATTTAATGCCTGTGCGGAAGCACGCACTCATCTTTCTGCCTCAGAATTGTGAAATCAAGTAACACATGACCCGGTGGGAATCGAACCCAATGTTTTCGATTTTGAAATGTTCCTACAGATTGAACTACGCTGAGCCAAAGAAACAACTTGCTTTCTGAATTTCTTGCTCGGTCTGAGTCTGAAAATATTTGTTTGTTTTTAAATTGACTTGATATGTGATGAAACTGAATATTTGAAATCATCGGTTTGAGCTTGCATACAATTTCGTTTGTATTGAACATCTTTTTTTGGTCATATTGGCATGAATTTCAACCGACCCATCGCCAACGATCAAGCTCCATAGCCTCGAAGCCAAAGCATGATGGTGCCAGGTGTATTATTGCTCCATATGGTCTGCGGTCCGTACCCAATCCCTCTTCTATGTGGCTTTGCCAACGTGCGTGCAAATGAGGTTCAAATGTCAAACGACCTGTCGCGACTGGTACTAGGCTAGGACTCATATATGTGCAATGATTGGTGTCAGCATAGTTCACCTTCTTCACGAGACATTGATTGTTGCAGTGAATGTTGGTCAAGAATAGACCACACAGTTCTACGATAAACCTACTGCCTATACGCAATACCGATTCTCAGCGATTCAAGCAAGATCGGTTTTCAAGTCATCAATGTTTATGGCCTCACAAAAATGGGAGATAAATAAATTTTGCAGAAGATGTCAGGTGTATTTATTAGCTATTATTGTTGTCTATGTAAATCCGACATCACGTCCATTCGATGGAGAACAAACGCAGAATAAGTACCGTATTCACTTTCAGATGTGATTAGTTACTTTAGCCGTTGTCTGTTTAATATAACTTGAGCGCCATACTTCACTTATGAATGGCAACAAATGGAATGAGCAGCATAGTTTCAGTATTGCAGAAGAATGCGTTTCAAATGCTTGTATGAAGTCTGTGTTTGCCTGACGACCTCAAGAAAACCGCTTTATGCCACTTGAGCATGAATGTTCTTAAGTTCTACCATGAATATGTGCAATCTACTCATTTCACGCTCCTAATGTTGTTTTCACATGGTTTTTTATCCGGTATCTGTATTTAGTTTACCAAGACTTTTGGGCCGAATGCTATAGCACTAAGATCTTTGCCCGCAGAATGCCTGAAGGATACGGACTGAGGTGCCATCGGGCGATTAAAGCGATATGTGAGCTGATCGGTATTAAGGACATGTACGCTCGTACCGAAGGCAATACCAGGAACTATATCGCTCTGACCAAGGCATTGTTCACGGGTCTTCGCGACCAAGAGACCCATCAACAGCTAGCTGAGAGGAAACGGTTGTACGTCGTCGAGTTCCGCAAAGAAACAGGCTACATTCCAACGATTGTCGCCAAACCTCTGACGGCACCTGTTCGTACCGAGGAGGAAATCGAGGCGAACGAGGTCAGTAGTGATTACGGTGCTCAGAATCTTACGACGTTCATTTAAAGGTGCTCGACGTAGAAGATATGTACGCGGAGGGGCGGTACCCGTTAAAGAAGAAGAATCGCGTCCCGTTTTTCTTTCACTTCCCAAGCTTCAAGAAGAAGCAATTGCGAATGCGCGCGCTCCGAAATCAGGAAGACGTGAAGGTACTATTGTCTGTGACCGGCCGATCGATTCTTTTCTGGTACTCACTGTTTTTGTCGTAGATCCGTCTTTTGGCCGAGGGGGTGCTGGAAGGCATCGACAGCGTTACGCTAAAGCGACAGTCTGAAAGGGAGCATGAACGAATGCTGCAAGGAGAGGTGCCTTTGCCATTGGGCATCGGCCTGACAGCCGTCACTCGCGATTCTTTGGAAGAAGAGGTGTCATCGTAATAAAGAACGGTGGCGCCAGGTCGGCAGTTAGGTCGGCACAGCGAGACATGGCGTTTCTCTGCACCTTATAACTTTTGTCAACGAGTCCACGAAATGAATTTACGCCGGCTGTTGTTGTCGTATGCTTTGTCGTGCACCGTTGCTTCGTTTTATTCACAAACCTGTTTGTTTGTTTCTTTCTTTCTTTCTCGCTCTAATGTTTACTAGCCTAATCACGTGATTTTGTTTTCTACTAGCTTTGAGGGAATATTTTATCTCACAGTTTACTAGTATCTCTGTCTGTTACACTAAAAACTTGTCTGGGCTGTTTTCCCGCCATTTCAGTGTCTGATGTTAGGCTGGTTACCGTTACCGTGATCAACAATTTCAGTTAATCCTGGTTCGTTGTGTTCTAAATTGAGGTGGTTGGTTTGAGGCTGACTGCCACGTGATGGAAACCAGATTTTGTCGCTTTATCACCGAACACTGATCATTCTTGGGGCTATTTTTGGCAATGTAGAATGATTTCCCTTTTGAATACTCGTTCCTTTTTCTAATTGGATCCCTTTCATGATGGGACCATCTCTGTCGCCCTCCTTTTCATAATGTTAACTAGTGTAGCGCTGACCTTCATTTCCGTGTTTTAGTCAGAGTCCCTGTCTTATTGTCAGAGTCGACGCCAGCTATGTGTCAAACAGTTTATAATCCCTTGTTATTTGCCCACAAAGTGGTACGCATTTATCAACCTCAGAGTGAAAAACCGCGAGTGATAACAACCGAATCTCGAACCAGAGCCTCTCGATTCTGAGTCAGGCGTTCTGCCAATTGGGCTACACTATTCTCAGCCCAGAGAATAGGCGATGTCGCCTTAATTAGACCCCGAGAGCGTATGCCGATTTTCGATGCCCTTGGAGGCGATATGATAATTGCATGAATGACATTGAGAACCTGATGTTGGGTTGGTCCTTTCGAATGGACAATGTCAATAGGTGGTGGTACGGGAGGATCAGTTTACGTTTTTTAATCATTACGGTAATGTCTCTGAAGTTCATTTTTTACCTTATGTAATCTTTCCGGTTCATCGCTTCTCTTTCTCTCGCAATCGGTGATCAGTTTCGAATGCGAACAGTCACGATTTCTGATCAGTCTGTGAAAAGTTCTGCCATTATAGCAAGAGTGTTTGACCTTATTCTTGGGGGGGGACACAAATATTCATCTACAGTCGCCTTTCATTTCCACTTAGGTGGAAAATGTGGTTCTTTGCGTAAATATTTCTTGTAGTAGCTTAGGATAAGCAGGATAAGCTTGGAATAAGATATTGGACCTCCTTTCAGTAACCGTTTTAAATGATTACGATGTCACGTTTATGATCTTGAAGCACCGATGGTAAGTGAAGTAGATGATTATGTTTATA